TGGAGAGTCCTATGTTTTCTCTTGCCATCAACCTGTTGTACAAACGAGAAAACTGAGGCCCTGAGGGTGGTTATAGCAAATAGATAGGGGAGCCCAGTCTGATTTGGGTCTTAGCATCTTGTTTCAAGGGAAACCAATGAAGTAGAAAAAAAACAACCCAAGTCGAAGGGGCACGACCAGGGTGGCCAGGTCAGAAGAGATGAAAAGCACTAGAGTGGCAGAATGAGGAGGGTCGACAAGGGAAGACGCTTTGGGCTTGAGGCAGTAAGGCGCCACAGTGGACTTTGGAAAAGGGGAGAGAAGCCCCCAAGAACGGTAGACAGCACAGCAGGATGTGTAAGAGTATGGACTCTGAAGCCCCAGTGCCTGGGTTCAAGTCATTTTTCTGCCAGTCGTGAAAAGCTACAATCTCTCCGTAGTATCAGTTTCTCTACCCAACGAGATAGGAATAACAAGAGTGCATGCCTCACAGAGTTGCTGCAGTAGGTAAATAATCAAGTTAATGCATGTAACACACGCAGCAAGTACTCAATAAATATTATCCTTATAGTTTTTATTATAGTTGTGCACCACACAAAGATGTTTCCACGGACCGCACATATGCTGGTGGTCCCATAAGATGATAATGGAGCTGAATTTCCTGTAAGAAATGGAAGGATATGTGGTTCAGGAGGAATTTTTTTTCTCTGACAGGAGCAACCGCTGTGAGATATTGGCATTAGATTCCCTCTCGCTCACAGCACCTCCACTCTGAGTGCACAGGTTACATCCCGGCCAACCAGCCACTGACCTGTTTCAGCACAGAGGAGCCTGTCCCCCAGCGCTACATATTCAGATGGCGCTACAGTCCTCCCAGAACTAGCACGATGGTCTTCAGAGTGCATCGCTGTCAATTCTTTGTTGAAGACCTGAGATCCTGTACAAGGGCACAGGTCCTTAACAAGTATTAAGTGCCACTGTCACTTTAGTGAAAGCTTTCTGTGGTAGGATGGAGCCAGTCTGTCCATGTACTTTGGAAATATTTTCAGGTCGTAATGATGGAAAGCATAGATAACTTTTATTTCTTCCATCAATTCAATGCCAGAGAGAGCCCTTAGTACCAGATTGGGTCAATGGAACCAAAAACATATTTCCGAAGTCTAAATCTTGAGTTCTCAGTTCTACACACTCTCTGTATTAAACGCCTTTTTTTTTCTTTTTTCTTTTTTTTTCCCATAATGAAGACCACACAGTTCCTTAATCTGACCACTACCCCAACATATAATAGCCAAAAGCACATTGCCATGATGCTGTCCTGTGTTCTCTCTCCATCCCATTGCTCCTCGGGCCCCCTTTCAATCTCTCCTGATAGTCACTATTATGGTGATCTATGCCTGACCCGGCAGTTTCTCCTCAATATTTCCAATTAATCCAGCACATGTCCCTATTCATGGAGCAGCATTGACAGCTTCAGTGTTCTATTTCTGATCCTGTAGTAAGGAAGCAGGGGGAGAGCAGAAACAGAGGCAAACTCAAAATATTAACTGAGCAGAATAATGGGAGTACAGTGTGGTGGGCAGGGTTGCAGGATTTCTTAATCTAAGCTCTATTCACATTTGAGAGGGACAATTCTTTGTTGTGGGTGGCTGTCCCATGTATTGTAGGATGTTTAACAGCATCCCTAACCTCTACCTACTAGATGCCAGTAGCATCTCTACCCAGTTGTGACAACCAAAAATATCTCTAGACATTGCCAAATGTCCCCAGAGGGGCAAAAACATCCCTGATTGATAATCCCTAGGCAACAGTAACCAACACGGGATAGCGAGGCATCTTGGGATTAATACATGGGAAGCCATTACTACCCTTATGTCTAAGGGGCAAGTAGAGGAAATGGCCTTTGAGACCCCAGTGAGAGCTAGAGCCGTGGAGGAAGATCCACATGACAGGTGGCCATAGGTTACAGAATGTAGCCATTGCCAACCTCAGCAAGGGAGGGAGGGGATGGGGAAGTCTGAACTCGCTCTCCTCCCAGTCCCTTCTTTCAGTTTCCTTCCCTCAATTTAACCAGCTGAAAGCCAGAATACAGGGAGCTACACGTACAGGTCCGGCGTCTGGGGCACAGAGTGATGGGGAGAGGGGAGGAGAGTGGATCTGGTGGGCCGAGGGGAATTGCCCAGTGCAGAAGACACCGCCGTCATCGAAGTAGGGCTGATGCTGGCTGGGGCAGAGGTGGTGGGAATGGACGCAAGTGGGTGGATTCAGGAATGTTTGAGAGGATCCGGTGGGCCATGAGTGAGAAGAATGTGTTAAAGATAAATGTTCAGGTTTCTGGCCTGGGGCAACTGGATCGATAATGGTGCCATTTTCTGAAATGAAGACAGAGGAGCAGGTAGGAGAAGGGCAATGATGAGTCTGGGTCTCAACAGGCCTGTGTTTCGAACATCGTAAGGTGCTTATGGGACACGTAAGTGGAGATGTTCAGGAGCAGTTAGGTTATATGGGTGTGTGATTCTGGAGGAAGGTCTGGGCTGCATACAGGCCAGGGGACCCTGGAAGGGAGGGGCATTGGTGCCAACTTCCCGCAGCCTCTGTCCTGCTTCCCACTAGAGATGGAAGAGGGAAGTTGTGATCAGCTAGAGAGGAAGAAGAGGAAAAGAGAAGGAGAAGTGGTAGGCTTCACGTCTTAAAGAGAACCCATATCCCTTATTTCATATTTCTTATGTCTGCTCTGGAGTGGTTTCCTGGGGAAAGGAGTAAAGGCTGAGGGATGAGGCCTGATTATAGGGCATGAAGGAGAGAGCTTCAGACATTCTGCTTGCATCATCTCATGAGCTGCCAGGCGGTAGGGGATTTATGGGGGGTAAGAGGAACAAGTTACCCCAT